CGCCCGTCCCGTGCGTGAACTTCGCTGCACACTTCGGCGGGGCGCAACCCGGGCGTGGCGCTCTGGAGCCGGGCGGCAGGCACCGATTGGACGCCCACGCGGTGGGGGGCGGGGTTAAGGCCGCAGCGCTCCTCCTTCACGGGGCCCTCAGGGTCCACCTTAAACACTGCACCTGACTCTTCATCTGCATTCCTCCGGGGAAGAAGGAAGATGGGCCCTTCTCCGTACGTGCATTGCCGTTTTTTTGTAGCGTGCGCCTTCAGGTCCTTTGCCAGCGTTTCTGTGGGGTTGTCCGTCTTTCCTGCGGACTGGCCGATGAGTGCGTTCGGGGTCCCTGCGTAATGGAGGTCTCCTCGCACTCTGTGTGGTCCTGCTGGTTTTGGCCGGAGAAGCCGAGGCCCAGAGGGGAAGTAGCTGGCCCCGGTGGGATGGGGTGGGGTGGTGAGTCGGCCATCAAACTGGGGCAGGCAGGCTCTCCTTCGGAGCGGTGGCCCCACCCACTTCCCCCCACAGTCTGGGATCCCTCCTGCACCTTCTTCCTCGCTCTTTCTCTCCCTCCCTGGTCGTCTCCCAGCAGCTCAGAAACACACCGTCATGCTCCCGCCCCCGCTCTTCTCCCCAAACCCCTGCCCGCTGTCCCAGCAGGGCCCGGGGCTGCACGCCCTGCCGTCTCCCGAGCCCGCACCTCTCTTCCTGGCCGCAGCCCGCCCTGTGAGGCCTCCGCGCCTCTGACTCCGGCGCTGCTGTCCAACCTCCCCCCTCCCCCCTCCCCCCGTGCCTCCCCGTCCCTGGCCCCTGTCGCCCTTTCTGCTGCGGCCACATCTCCCAGCCCCAGAAGCCTCCAGCCATCCTTTCATTGTATTATTTTATTGTGTTTTCTCCCCACCCCAGGAGGCCGTGCTTACCGGTTTTAGAGAGAGGGGAGGGGAGGGAGAGAAACATCGACGGGTGGCGGCTGGAATGCGCCCTGGCCGGGGACGGAACCCACAACCTTGCATTCTGTGGGGACGGCGCTCCAGTCCACTGGGCCGCCCGGCCAGGGGCATCCTCCCTCCCTTTTAGGATCCATGTCAGGTCACGTCGCTCCTCCGCTGAGTGCCACTCGGTGTTCCCTTCCCACACACACGCACCCACACACACGCACCCCTCGGCCTCCCCCACGCCAGGGCGCCGTGCCGCCGTCCCAGCCTGCATCTTGCAGAGCCAGGCCTGCCCCCCCCCCACACACACACACAGGCGGGGCTCCCAGAACTCCCCGAGGGCCAGCAGAGCCGCCGGCCCCTCCGCCGCTCCCCACCCCCTCGGGCCCAGACTTGCGGGGGGCGCCCGCGTCTGCCGCCCATCACCCCGCTGCGTCCTGCACACGCAGGGCACGCGGGCACGCTTCCGGAACAGGAGTCCGCGGGCCTCTGTCCCCACGTGTCTGCCTTTGAGATGCCAGCGCCAGGCCCCGTGGGGGCAGGTCTGTGACTGCCGGCCCGCAGGGGTGCCCGGGGGGGTCCCCTCCGAAACTCCGTGCACCCGGCCGGCTCCGGGGCCCTCCCTTGGTTTCTGGCCCCAGGAGGCCTGCCGCGGGGCCCGGTGTCTGGACTTCCCACATCGCCAGGACCCCACCTCGGCACGAGGCCGCCTGACCCCGCACTGGCGGAGGACGCAGGCGGTCTCGTCCCTCTCTGCGTCCCTCTCCGCCCTGGTGCCCACGAGATACCCCTCTCTCCGCCCAGGGAGACTCGGGGGGGCCCCTGAGCTGCGAGCTGAACGGCACCTGGTTCCTGATGGGGCTGTCCAGCTGGAGCCTGCCCTGCCGCACGCCCGTGAGCCCCAGCGTCTTCACCAGGCTCGCCCACTTCTCCGGCTGGGTCCTCGAGCGGCAGAGGGAGACCCCGCCGCCCGCGCGGTCTCCACGCAAACCCGCGTCCTCCAACGGCCCCTCCTCCACGGGCGCCGTCCCGGGGTCCGGGGTCCAGAGGGCCCGGCTGCTGTCACAGGCCCTCCCGCTGCTGCTGCCCCCGCTGCTGCTGCCGCCCCCGCTCAGGGTGCCATGAGGGACCCCTGGCGCCCTCCGCCCTTCCCCGTGCGCCCCGCATGCTCCTGGAGTGTGTCCGTCTCCGGGCCGTGTCTGAGCCCTCCCGTCCCCCCGAGGCCTGACCAGGTAAAAGTGATCCCACAAGCTCCCTGCTCCTGTGTCTGACTCTGCAGTGCCCCGCCCCCTGGGCTCAGGCTCCTCCCTGCAGGAAGGTCTCCCTCCTCCCTGGGCTGAGGGGGACAAGGACATGGAGAGGACGGCCGGCCACCTGGAGCCGAGTGCCTGTCCCTGGGGAGTCTTCTAGAAGAGCCGGCAGCCTCGGGGGCCAGGGCCTCCCCTGGAAAGGAGGTGGCAGGCCCTAGGACCTGTGGGGTAGCATCCGTGGATGGCCAACGTCACCCGGACAGAGTGCTCCCAGAGACCCGCCGTCTCCCTGCAGTAGTTGCGAGTGAGGGGCCCTGGCCGCCCTTTCCAGAGTTCTGAGTCCCCCGCCCCCCCCCACACACATCACCTTGTTCACCCCGCCACCCCCCCCCCCCGCCCCCAGAGCCCACTGCCCCGTGCACTGGCCCTGGCGGCGGAGGCGTAGCTAGCCCCGCACTTGCTGGTCCAGCACCGAGGCTACAGCCAGTGGCTGCGCATCCCTTCCCCAGCAGCGGTCCACCCGAAATGAGAGGCGCTCCTAGAACGTTCACGACCCCAAGATGAACGCAGGCCGCGGGCAGCGCCGGCTGTGTGGCGTGGAGGCCTGTGTGCAGACTGGCTTCTGCAGGCAGCAGAGGCTGAGCGTCGTGCAGAGGTGGCTCCTGCATGCCGTCCCTCCCACACACACACCGGCCGGCCCAGTCCACTGCTCCCAGGCCGGAAGGGGGACAGCGCTGCGTGGGGGAGGGGTGGGGTCGCAGGACGTCTGCTCCGGCTCTGGAGTGACCTCAGATTCTGAACGGGCTGGGGCATCTGGACGACCAGGGCGCCGAACCCCGTGGCTTTCCCCATTCCTGCTCAGTGTCCCTGAGTGGTCGGTGCCCACAGTGAGGGCGCCAGGTCAACAGTGCCGAAGGCAGAGAGCCCGCCACGGCTTCCTTCAAAGGCGGGGCCCTGGCCCCCCGTCAGCCTGAGCAAAGGCAGGGCCCCCGAGGAGGCCCAGGCCGGTGAGGCGCCTCCCTCCATGCGCTCCCCCCAGAGAAGAGCAGTGACGCGTTTGGGTGAAGGGGTCCTCCTCTGTCCCCTGAGAGGTTTCTAGTTCTCGGGGACCTCTCTGGGCACCTGGGGGGCCGCTAACAAGGAAAGTGCCTTTTGTCCCAAATTCTTCACGCCCCCCAGCAGAGAGCGGCAGATCCCTTCACGGTTTGGGGGTGCGACCCTGTGCTGTTGCTCTCGGAGTCGGGAGGGCGGTTTTCCCGGTCTGTTGTATAGGTGCGCGGACGGACAGCGCAGACAGACAGACAGACAGGCAGAGAAAGATAACGCGGTTACTTGGGGGGTTTTCTTATAATCAAGGAATTGCTCTGTTGGGAGGACGCATACGCCTGGTTCCTAATTTTCTACTGGAAACGTAAGTGAGCGGTTTGTAGCGCGGCTCTTCGCATGAACAACCAGTGCGTCTCGAGCTTCCTTTTGCCCACACCTGCAGCCTCTCGGCGGAGGTGGGCGGCCCTCGGGGCTCCGGTTCCTGGGTGCAGCGGCTGAAACTACAACCACGTGCCTCCCGCCCGCGAGGTCCCCCCGCACAGGTCACGTCGGGACACAGGGAGGAGACAGGCATTTAGCGAACGTGCCGCAGCGCGTAGACACGTCCGCCGAGGTCTTAGGGCGCGCGCACCAAGTCCACGGGTGGTCCGTTTCTGTGGCAATGACGCCGAGCGCATGGCGCTGCTCAGCGTGCACTCGGGACCATTTAAAGACAACTGGGCTGTCAAAAATGTCGATTACTGCCTGGAAGTAGCTGTCTCGAAATTTGAGTCCTTGGTTTCCACGTCAGCCCTGCACCAGACCAGACCTGCCTTCCTGTTTCTTCAGCGCTTATTTCAATCTGCGTTGAAGGTGCCAGCGTCTTGGAGGGCGCCCCTTGCCTCAGCGGCGCCGCCCCTGCACCAAGGGTCGGACTCGTTTTCACTCGGGAACGCGGTGCACAGACCCCCAGGTCAGCCTCCTCGCGGTGGGCGGAGGCGGGACGCTGCCGCGCGTGCGCGGTTAGGAATCAGGCCTGCGCCCCTCGTGGTTGGAGCCCGGCGGCAAACCCTCGCCCCCGGGCTGCGGAAGGTTTCGGGTTGTAACGAGCGAGCGTGTCACGAGAGCGGTTCGTGAGAAGGTCAGCAGGTGGGTGCGCAGCCCTCCAGGGCGCCTGCGCAGCCCGAGTGGTTTCCGGCGAAGGCGCCCCCGGTTCTGCGGGTCATCCCGGGCTCCTCGCGGCCGACAGCCCTGATTCGTCAGCGCAGGGGGCACAGGTTTGGAAGGAAGTTTAACCAATGAAGTCCCTTCGGTTAAACCCCTAGCACACCAGGGACACGGTTACCCAGACTTGTACAGCCAGGGTGTTCCAGGTGCGCTTACTGGTTCATCTAGCAGAGTCATGAGCCTCAATGAAGGCGGTCGGTGCGGGGGGGCTGCCGGCACACGCGGGCGGTTCGCAGGTCTCTGGAGCATCTGCACATGGGGGCTGGGGGGCTGGAAGACGGGGTGCTGGGAGAGGGGGTGCTGGAAGACGGGGTGCTGGGAGACGGGGTGCTGGAAGACGGGGTGCTGGGAGAGGGGGTGCTGGGAGACGGGGTGCTGGGGGCGCCCACCCAGTCTGCCCCACCACAGCACGGATGCGTGGGGTGGAAGCGGCCGGGCCTTCACTGTTTGCTCACGTGCGGCCAAGTCACGTGCCCTGATGTACAGCTCAGGGAAGCAGGCTTTGTTTCTGCTGAACATGTTTATTGACAAAAACATGGGCGCAACGCCTCAGTCCACACAAATTGGGACGGAACAAATATGTTATTCAGAACATAGGGGACTGAAGAGGACACACAGGACGCGCCCGCTCAGCAGCTCCGGGGGCGCGGCGCTGGGCCCCCACGGGCGCCCGGGGCGGCGGGCTCCCCTTCACGGCCCCCGCGCAGCAGGAGGAGGCAGGGCAGCAGCAGGCTGAGCAACACCAGCGGGCCCCGGGCGCTGCGCCTCGGCGAGTGTGAGCTGAGCAGGTCTCTCGGGTCTGAAAAGTAAACCCCAGAGCGAGCAGGTGAGACCCTCCCTCTCTGGCAGACCCGCTCCAAGGGGGTGACAGGCGTCGGCAGCCGCTCGGACAAAGGCCCCTGTCAGCGTTGCCCGCGGCCGGGGCTCTGGCCGGCGGGCTGGACGGGAGAGAGCCCGCTGCCCGGCCTCGGGCGCGGCTCCAGGAAGATGTGCCGGCCTTGAGCTTGTCTGTCCGTTTTGCTGGGTCAGAAATGCTTGTGGGGCTGAGGGCTTCGCTGTCGTTAAGGCAGCAGAGAGGGGTCTCGGAGGCTTCCTGGAGAAGCCCACCCACGGGAACGGCGCCCATCACAGGAGAGCACCCCAGGAGGGCTCGACGGAGGGGCTGCCCTCTCCCGGGCGGCCCACCACCATGCCGGTGGCCCCTGGGGCCAGGACCTGTGTGGGCGGCCTCCCCAGCGGCCCACAGCCCCACAGACGGTGGTGTGCTGGCTGATTGGTTGGCTGGTTGGTGCCAGGAAAGTGTTTTTAAAACTTGAGTGTGAGCCCTCACCAGTGCGGCTCTGCTGGTTGGAGTGTCTTTCTGTAAACCAGAAGGCCGCAGGTTTGATTCCCGGTCAGGGCCCGTGGCTGGGGAGTTTCTCTCTCTCATTGGTGTTTCTCTACCTCTCTCCAAAATCGGTGGGCATGTCCTCAGGTGAGGACAGAAATAAAAAATTGGCCCTGGCTGGTGTGGCTCAGTGGATTGAGCACCAGCCCGGGAAACCAGAGGGTCACCAGTTCGATTCCCAGTCAGGGCACATGCCTGGGTTGTGGGCCAGGTCCCCAGTAGGGGGCGAGTGAGAGGCCACCACACATTGATGTTTCTCTCCTTCTCTTCCCCTCTCTCTATAAATAAATAAATAAAATCTCTTTATTATAACATAAAATCTTTAAAAAAAGAAAAAGACATATGCATCCCTATGTTCGTTGCAGAATTACTTACAAATAGCCAAGATATGTAAGCAGCCAAGTGTCCATCAATGGATGAATGGAATAAGAAAATGTGGTTAAATGTATATATAAAATTATTCAGCTACAGAAAAAGGGAAACCTTGCCATTATTAACAACATGGATGGACTTTGAGGACATTATGCTAAATGGAATAAGTCAGATAAAGACAAAAAGACAAAGGCCACATGATGTCACTTATATGTAGAATCTTAAACGAAGGAACCAAACTCATAGACACAGAAACAGATACGTGGTTGCCAGAGCTTGCTGGGGGGCGGGGAGGTGAGTGCGAGGGGAGGGGTGTTGAAACGGGTGAAGGTGGTCCGTGTGCAAGCTTGCAGCTATAGAGACAATCCGCGGGATGTAACCTACAGGGTGGCCAGCATGGTAGATAATAACACTGCACTGTGAGTTTAAAAATGATGATGCACTATGTGACTCACAACAGATGTGACTTCCCTGAGGGATGATGACTCAACCCAGCTTGCTCATTTCTGTGTCGCCTGGCACACGTAGATCTGGGAGGATCGAAGTGTGTAAAGGAGAAACCGCATGCATGGGTGGACTGTGAGCCCAGGACGCAGGTCCCCTTACCGCAGCGGCCGGGCGTCTGGCGGGGGAGGCAGTGCAGGGCCCCGAAGACGCACCTGCACAGCCGGCAGCTGCGCAAGGTCCAAGATCCGTGCACCAGGGCGCCGCACTCGCTAAGAGGGCGAGACCCCGCGTTAGCGCCGCCGGCGCGCGTGCCCCGCCCTCCAGTCCCGCCGTCCCCCCAGCCGCGCCCCCGCCCCGCGCGCGCGCTCCCACCCTGGTCCAGCCATCCGCCCCGCTCCGCGCGCACCTGTGCCTCTGGTCGTGCTCGCAGTAGCGGCCGGTGAAGTGGGCGGAGCACACGCAGAAGCTGCCCAGCACGCAGGTGCCGCCGTTCATGCAGCAGCGCGGCCGCGGGGGCGCACCTACGAGGGTCGCCGGGGCGTCAGCCTGGCGCGCGGGCGCAGCCCTCTGCGTTAGATCCGCCGGAAGGGGGCAGGACGAGATCGCCCGGGAGGCAATAAAATTAGCCCCCTGCTAAGTGTGTTTGCTCAGGTAAACCCCGCTTGTTCATTAAAGGATTAAAAACAAGCTACCCGGGGTGAGGGCGGGTCAGGAACCAGTCGGAGGGCGGGACTCGAAACCCTGCCCCCAGCAAGCAGGGCTTGCTTTCTTCCTCTCTTTCACATGTTAAATTCAGGCTGTGACACAGTGACAGTGACTGAAGACAGGCCTCCGGGAGAGGACCACCCACGGACGCAGTGACGCCACCCTTCCCCCCACCGGAGGGACCCCCTCCTCCAGAGGGACCCCCTGGAGCCCGAGAGAGTCCGCTGTTATCTTGGGTTGGGATATTTGTTTTCAATGCATTCCAATCAGCTCTCTGGGCCTGAGGAAAAATACCCACGTAAGAGCAAACGCAACACTTTGCCAGTGAAAGAGTAAAACTTCAGAGCCAAAGAACACCCCGCTAGGGAGTGTTTTTACTTGATAGTGCGTCATCACTTGAAGATGATAGAATGCTCTCTGTTGGGCTTCCCGTCTTAGCCTTAACAGATCCCGGGCTTTCCAGACCCTGACTCCGGACTCCGGGGGCTGCGATGACCGCCAAGGCCGTAAGGCGGTGTGGGACTCACGCTCTGGGGGAGCCCTGGCCTGGGGGAGCAGGTCCTGCGCGCTCCCGTTCCCGTCCCTGGAACCGTCCCACGTCCAGTTGAGTGTTTTCTGCTGGAGCCTCTGAACTGTCGCGTTGTTGGTTTCTTCTCTACTGCCCTCATGATTCTCTCTCTGGCAGCCTTTTAAAAACGTTGGAAAAATGAGCCGCGGCTGGTGTGGCTCGGTGGATTGAGTACCAACCAGCCTGCGAACCGAAGGGTTTTGGCTGGATTCCCAGTCGGCGCACAGGCCTGGATTGGGGCCAGGTCCCCAGCAGGGGGCGCGCGAGAGACAACCACACACTGATGTTTCTTTCTCCCTCCCTTCCCCTCTCTCTAAAAATAAATAAATAAAATATTTTTTTAATTGGGGATATGGGATTGATAGTGACTGAGAAACAACTACACAATAGAAATCAAAATACTGTAAATAAAAGGCTTCTTACTGTTTCCCAAAGGAATGGTCTGTAACGCCAGACTGATCGCAAACAGAAGCCTGGAATGTCGAAGGAAAAGCATTGACGTTTAAAATATTAAAAAAAAAAGCAGAAGCAGAACTTTCCATGCATGTAAACTGTGATACAGTCACATGTAATACAAAGGTATATTCAATGTTTAAGGGATGGTACCATGCAGTCATCTTGTAACTTGTAGACTCTGAGCACCATGTTTCGCCATGCATAATGCGCACTTTTTCGCCCAGAGTTTTGAGGGAAAATAAGGGCGTGGGTTATCCACGGGTAAAATGGCCGCACGCCGTGGGTGTGATAACCCTGAGACAATGCGCACAAAAATGCGGGTGTGTGTGCATCACGTTGTCGTCGCTCAGAAGATTCGGAGACCAACAAGGCACACGGTGCCTCAGCGAGAGGGAGCCACCCTGCCCCTCATGGTGGAGGCTTGTCAACCACCCTACCCCCCCCCGAGACCCGCTGGCCCCTGTGCTCACCTGACAGGGGCGCTCCGGGCCATCTCCTCCCTGACTCCGTGGGCAGCAGAGTCTGCTCCTGTCCTCGGATGCGGTGAAGGCCGGTCAGCCCACAAGGAAGTGGGGTCTGACAGCGTTTGTACGGGAAGGTCCCAGAGCCACTGCTGGAGGAGACCAGGAGGGTAAGAGCAGAGGCCGCAGGTACGCCCTACCTCCGCCTGGGCCGCGGGAAGTGACCTGAGAGAGATCTCTGACCTCTGCTGTGGAAGCCCTTGGGCAACAGCCCGTGGTGACTGTCCCCTCAGGGAGACTCAGCTGGGGGCAGGGGCGGAGCCTCGGCTGACTCTGTCCCCAGCCATGGGGACAGTGCAGACGCAGCCAGAGCAGCAGGAGTGGCCAGGCCTCAGGGAAAACACTGGTAACCAAGGCAACACCTCTTTCCCTCAAGGGGGGGGGGAATTAAAACCCCAACACAAACAAACAAGTTTTCATGGAAAATGGACATTTTGCATTGCTAAGTGCGTATCCGGGGAGATGGGAGGGGACCCGGCTGTAAAGGGAACCGCCGTGTGGGACCTGCCCAGCAGACGCGGGTCCCAGCCAGAAGCCTGGAGCGCCGGGGACGCTTCGACCCCTGCTGTCCGAGGTGCCGGCCTTCCCGCCCCCGCAGCCTGCGCTCCGTGCCCAGCACAGTGACCGGTGCGTCCACACTTCGCTCAGTTCACAGAGCGCTGTCCTGGGGGAGCACCCTCAGCAGCCCCCACGTAACAGGCGAGGCAAGTAGGGCCTGGAGATTAGTTAGGTCTTTCCGAAACAGGACGTGCGCTGACTGCTCCCGGGGAACCGCCGCCCCACCCCGCCCCCATCCTGGATGAGCCGCTGGGAGCCCGAGAAGGCAGTGGTCCGGGAGCCTCTTCTGAGACTTTGAGTCTCAATTTGTCTTGTTGCCAAAATAGCGACTGGAGACTGGCACCAAAGGGGACCCCTTGCCATGTGGGTGCGAATGGTCCTGTGATTTTAATGGAAAAACTGCTTTCTAAAAACAGCGTGCTTTCTCCAGGGATGATATTGTCTTGGCTCCTGATTTATTTTTTTTTCAAGATTTTATTTATTTATTTTTAGAGAGCGAGGAAGGGAAGGAGAAAGAGAGGGAGAGAGAAACATCGGCCCACCGCCCAGGCAGGCGCTTGACTGGGAATCGAACCCGCAGCCTTTCAGTCTGCAGGCTGGTGCGCAGTCCACGGAGTAAATGTGTAAACCTTTAAATGCGAGGTTCATTAGACAGGCTGTGAGACCCGCCAGCGGCGCATCGGCGAGCCCGGCTGCAGGGAGGCCCCCTTCGCCGGTGCCCTGAGCTGCAGGGACCCACGGGCAGCACAGGCAGAGCGGGACGTCCGGCGCCTGCGTGAAGCGTCTGTAACTGGCGTCACGGTCAACACTCCTTCAAACCGAGGGGCCACTACCTGTCAATCCCACGATTCAGTCGCGCGTAAAAGTGAGTGGGTTTTATGACTTTAAGTCACTGGGAATGTTTCTGCAACCTAAATGGCTCGCCCACCAAAATGAACCCGTGCATAAGTGCAGGGAGTGTATTACCTGAGCAAGAGGTGTAAAAGCTGTTCCATTTACAGGATGACACTGAAGCCAAACCTTGCTAATAGCATTTAAAAATGTAGAGTAGTATCTAAAATGTAACTTTCCCTTGCTGTTATTTTTAACTAAATGTGCATTGTGGACGGTTTCAGATTTACACAAAGGCTCACTCAGGGATCCCATAAACCTGCCTGGGCTCCGCAGTGAAGTGTCAACCTTTGCCAATCTCATTTATTCCCCCCCCCCACTCCGGTACTTTTTTTTTTTTTAGAAAAAGCAAATCTGCGACATCATGATATTTCCCATGTCAAGTGAGGTTTTGAAAATAGGCCCCTCATCAAGGGGAACCACAGAAATAGCGGCGGAACGGGAGGCCGGAAACAGCCCTGGAATGTCCCGCCTCGGCTGTTTGCTGAAGATCTCAAGTCAGCTCTCCCGGAGGGAGGGAAAGGGCTGGCGGCGGCCAGGGCGATGAAGTTGCTGCCGCAGCCTCGTTTTCAGCAGCCCGTCACGCGCTCTGGTTGACTTAAAGGTCTCGTAAAGAGAGCTTTGCCTGTCACTGCGGGAGAGCCGGGGTCTGCCTGGTCAGGGAGGCCCAGCTGGCGGGGCGCGGGGGCTGGGGGGGGCAGGGCTGGGGAGCAGCCGGAGGCCAAGTGGCGGGAGGCAGATGCCCAGCTCCCAGGAGGGCCCCTCCCCGCCGTTATCACTTGTGAACAGATAAGCCTGGAGCCAGCGCGGCCGGCAGACCCCCAGCTCATTCTGAGCCGCCCCGCGGCGTGTGGGAGCAGGGACCCCCTGTGCCAGGACTGGAGACCGCCGCCCCTCCTCTGGGTCCTTAGCACATCAAACAGCGGCCGGTGAAAACGTTAGGTGCGAAGGGGTTGTCCGGGGGCCACTGTAAAGCAGGTCGGTCCTGCGCGGCTCAGGGCGCTCACCCTGCGGGCCTTTCTCTCAGAAACCCGGGCAGAGCTGAGAGCCACGGCAGGGTTTTGTTTTTTCCTTTCCCTCACCAGCCCAGGAGACTCTGGTGCACAGCCAGAACTGTGGCTCTGCGCCCACGTTCTGCGTGGCTGTGTGCCCCCGAGGGTGGGGCGCTCCTTCCAAGCCTGGCTGCTACCTTTGAGCGCAGTGAAGTGCTGCTCGCGTGCATGAAAGAATAAATGGGCTCTGGCTGCTGTGGCTCAGCCGGCTGAGCACCGGCCTGCAAACCAGAAGGTCGCCAGTTCGATTCCCAGTCAGGGCACAGCCCTGTGTTTCAGACCAGGTACCCCCAGTAGGGGGCGATCGGGAGGCAACCACACGTTGATGTTTCTCTCCCTTCTTTCCCTTCTCTCTAAAAATAAATAAATAAATAACTTTTTAAAAAAAAAGACTGAATGGATTATCATACTTAGAATCCACTGAGTGTGAAATTGAAGAAGAGGACGGCTTGGGGACATGTGATATGGGGGGAGGAACAAACTTCTCTCCCCCCTCCAAGTGCCTCTGGCTGGTCTAATCGTGGGAGAGGTTAGCAAGAGAAAAGTAACCACATTCAAGACACACGCGTGTGTGGGAAGCCCGAGAGCCCGGCAGAGCCAGCGAGCCCACCCTCAGGAGAGGCGCGGAGACAGAACGGGGGGTGGAGGCCTAGGAGGCCGCCTGCGCTGGGCGTGAGACCGGCCGTGCGCCTTGGGGGCCACAAAGTGCTGCTGCGGGGTCAGAAGAGCAGCTGTTCAGCGAAGAGGAGTGTGTTCTGCCCGCTACACAGGCCAGAAGCGGTGAGTTCTCTCTCCGCATCGCGTAGGGTGGGCAAGGCCCCTAATTCAAGTTCTCCAGGTCACTGTGCATGGGGGGCGGGGGCGGAAGTTTCTCCTGAGCTTGCAGCTGAAGTTCCCTTTAGCTCAAGCTTGCCACAGAGGGATGGATGCCTTGGGGTGGCTCGCTCTGAACCCCCAAAGTTCCCTCCTGGGAAACTCGCCTGGAAGTTTCACCTTTCAGAAGTTAGGTTGGTAGGTTCTTCTGTTTCTGACTAATTTTTATTTTTCACTTATAGTTGATGTACAATATTGGTTTCAGGTGTACAACGCAGCAGTCCGCCCTAGCTGGTGTGGCTCAGCGGACTGAGTGCCGATCTGTGAACCAAAGCGGGCGGGGAGAGGCGCCTTTGGTTCCTGGTGCAGCTGGAGGTCAAAGTTCTCTCCTCTGGACCTGCTTTGTCTGGCTGAATGGCTTGCGGTTCCGGCTCCCTGTCTCTGAGAAGCAGCTGCATCTCTCTGAACGGGATAGGACCATTTTGAGTGGGTTCTGCAGTTATAAAAAGCTCCACTTTAGGCTTTTGGGCATGCTACACATTAAATTAAAAAATAATAATAATTTACGTCCTGGCTGGTATAGCTCAGTGCATTCAGCGTGGGCCTGCAAACCAAAGTGTCACTGGTTCGATTCCCAGTCTGGGTTTATGCTGGAGTTGCCAGCCAGGTCCCCAGTAGGGGGCCCACGAGAAGCAACTACACACTGATGTTTCTCTCCCTCTCTTCTTCCCTTCCTCTCTCTAAAAATAAATGTAAAATCTTTTAAAATAATAATGTATTATTAAATTCTACAAATAAGTGCTGGCTCAAAATTCTGCTAAACCCATGGGGGAGGACCTAAATATTTTTTTTTTAATGGAGCCCTACTCTCCATGATAATTTAAACAAATAAGACAGGACCGGTGGCTGGCCAGGCCCAGTTCGAAGAAGGAGGGAGGCTCTCAGCGGCCCCAGACCGCAGGGCCTCCTGGGCGCAGTCACATCCGAGAAGCTCGCTGACGATCAAAGGCTAAATGGAAATTGCTCGCCCTCCTCCCTTCTGAGAGCAGACACCCGCTGCCTGGCCCGGCCGCCCGCGGCCGGTTTGCGGTCCACGCGCTATTTCTGAAGGTGATGAGGTCTGTCTGCCTGGGGCGAGTGAAAACCGCACAGAAGGAAGAAACTGAAACAAAGTTTTCGCCTCTGCTCGAAAGAGCTCTGCTCAAGGGGATTAAAAATAACGACCCGCGCCAGGAGCCCATCCGCCGTCCCGGGCGTTCCCCGCTCCCCAGCGCAGTCAGCAGCTGGGCTGCAGGCCGGCTGTCTGCAGGGTTTGCTCGGCTGTGCGCCCTGTGCTCACACACGTGCGAGACCGGACCGCGCTTTCGGTGACCCTGCTGCAGTTCAACGCCCAGACACGGAGCCTTGGGTGTTGAACAGGCGGATGAGACACGCGACGCGGGAAGCAGCGTGTGGTGCCACTGCGCAGGCGCCGGAGAGCCCCCGCCTCCGCGCACTGAGACGTCCTCTTCCCACCTCCTGGGACTTCTTGCAAACCGTCCCGGCCTTGTCTGGGGAGCAGCCCCCTCTTCCTTTCCATCAGGGCTGACTCCCTCCTGCCCTTGAAGTTTGGTGGGGGTTTTTGTGGTTGTTATTTTAAGACTGTATTGATTTGAGAGAGCAGGGAGGAGAAGGGGGAGAGAAACACTGACGTGCGAGACACACGTTGATGCGGGAGAGAAGCCTCCCACACGCGCCCCAAACGGGCCCGAACCC